GAAAAAAGCAAACGATAATTTTCAAGGCGTACTTAGCACGGTGCATAGGCGTTTTTACTCTCTATAAAATATTTTGTTCTTGCGGTTTTGCATTATCCTGATACGCGGTTTTGCATTTTTTTGATACGCGGGTTTGTTCTTTAAACGACGACATATATATATATATCGGTTTATCGGCATACAAAGTCTCAAGTGAGGAAAATTCCAATACCAAAGAAAAGATTCAAGCACATTCATTTAGATATTGTAGGAACTTTACCCATTTCAAAAGGACATCGATATATTTTAACTACAGTTGATAGGTTTACTCGTTGGCCAGAGGCATACGGATTAAGAGATATTTCTGCAGCGACAATTTTGAATGCATTTTTACGTGAATATATACGTCGTTTTGGTGTACCGTTAGAAATAACTACTGATCAGGGTACTTAATTTACTTCTAAATTGTTTTCAGAGTTAAGAAAATTATTAGGAACTCATCAAATTACAACGCCGTCTTACCACCCTCAAGCTAATGGTATCTTAGAGCGTTTTCATTTAAAGAAAATATTTCCGCTATACCTGCTGAAATGGTTTTCGGACAAAATTTACGGTTGTTTCAGCTGAAAACTCAACTTCATCCAAGGCGCATCAATACAAGGTGGTTTTGATTGAACAGCTGATTGGATATTTTTGTCTCCAAGACGAAATGGCGCAACTTTAGTATGTCAACACAACGAAATGACGAAAACTATCTCCTATTCTTTTTCGTTTTGACATCCTGATTTTTTTGGTACAAAAAGCAATAACAAAATACACTGGACTTTTACTTATATGCAATTGTCACCACCTTGTATGGATGCGCCTTGACTTCATCTGATATTTTGAGTTGTTTACGCGAAAAATTTAGAAATGTCCATTCATGTTTAAATCATCATTGTTTTAATGCTGGAATTTACGTTCCAAACCTGCAAATTCGTTTTTGTACGTTTAATTAATACAAAACCCATATGAAGGGCCATATAAGGTTATTGAAAAGAACAAGAAGTATTTTCAAATAGAAATTGATAATGGAATCAAAACTATTCCGATTGACAGGTTAAAACCAGCAATGATTGAAACTACCAGAATCCAAAACTTATTATCCCAACAATATTGGAACAATAAAGAAAGCCACATATAACTTATTTATTCTCTGGATGGGGAAGTAATGTAAGGATCTTATTGTTGTTATTTATTTGCTTGGAAATGGTTCTACTTTGTACTCATTTAAAGAATTTTTTGGTCGTTAAAATAAAATATTTTTAATTCTTAAAAGTAAAATCATTAATACCTGGAATTGTGATACTACAGTATGTATGTAAATCTCGGGATATACTTATTGGTTCTCTGATTGACTACTAAATATTTAGCTTTTCTATATTTTTTTTTAGGTATTTATGCCAAGAATCATAATTTCCGAGCATACATACATATTTATATCTATTCATAATCTAATGTACGTATGTACATACTGACACTGCCGGCAGAATTGATAGACTCGTCGTACTTTTAAGAATTTTGTATACATTTATTTAGTTTATTTTATGTTTAATATTTTTTATAAAAGCCTAGGTAGTTATGCAACATATAAATCAGTATTTTCTAGCCACTTGAAACTTGCACTTTATTATACTAAGATTGAATGGGCTACAAAACTGCATTCTGAGTAAAAAGTTTAAAAATTTGGTGAAAATTTTTGTATAAAGTTTGAAAAGGGGATTTATATGGTGTTTGGCGTATAGCTGGCCAGGCTTTTATAAAAAAATATTAAACATAAAATAAACCATGGAAAAGCTCTTCAAGGTAAGGCGAGTCTATTATTTCTGCCGCCACTGTATATATGTATGTAGGTAAATACCTCTCCGTTCGCCATAACAATATCTACCACGCCTTCTTGGATGAAGTACATTTTTGTTCCAATTGTACCTTCTTTTATAATAATATCACCTGTGGACAAATATGAAAAAAATGTTATATAAAATAAGGCTTATTAGATAAAACCAGCTATCTTACCGGGCTGAAAAACTTCATATTTCAGTTTCGTTACGACGTCAGAAACAAAATTTGAATCAGCATTAGCAAAAAAAGGCACGGACGCAACGAGAGATCTGGGGATGGCAAAAAATCATACATTTATAAAGTATTAATACTTTTGGAGAAAAACGAACTTAATAATAAAATATTGTTATTAGTCATGGTACAATAATTACAGGTATTGTCTTCCCAGAGAGCGCATATTCCGATCAGCCTTATTTAAAAAATATCATTGTTGCCCACACTAAAACGTTTACTGCTAGGGAAAAGGGATATTTCCATACCCCATATACCATATATGTACACTAGACTGCATCACCAAAAAATGTTGCGGTTTTTCCACCCGGATTACAAAATGTATTATATTTTAAGACGTCCACCAAAATATTTCGGAAAAATATTAAGATTTAAGTGAGCTGGGCCGATTTGAAGATACCTCCAAAAATGTAGTTTTTTTTATGAATAAAAATTGTTTCTTAAAGAACTTTTTGAAAAAAGTCCGCTCAGATGACAAAACAGATTAAGCTTAAAATATCTGCATAAAAATATTTAAAAATCTTTTGAACGGAATCGTAAGAATGAGATTTTTGATGCTGGGCCAAAACTATTCTGATTTAGACTTACAGGGTGTCAGTTGAAAGGTATTTTCACACTGTTTTTATTTCTGTCCAAAAAAAGTCATTCGTGTCCCAATATTTTTTTTCAAATACCAACACATCTTAATTCAACTTTGAAGGACGTTCCTTCATCCTACCTTTCTCTTTCATCCTTTGAATGAGTTTATTAGTAAAGAAATAAAAAGGTAGAGAAAATACCTTTCCAATGACACTCTTAAGTCTAAATCGGAAGAGTTTAGGTTCAGTTATTCAAGTTTTTCTTCATCATTACGATTCTTGTGCTTGCCACATAAAAGCAAAAAGTTGAAAATTATTGAAATCGGACTAAAATTACGGCCGCTTTTCATATAACGGTAAATTTCAGAAATGCTTGAAACTTCAATATTTCGAAATTGAAGGATGCTAATTTACTCAAAATTGATACACCCCGGCTTATCATCTAGCGGTAGGTTTCGGAAAGGTGAAAAAACATATATTTAATACTTGCGCCGGGTATTTAATGTTCGGCTCAGCCCGAACTTAGACTTTCTTACTTGTTTTTATTTTTATTTTTCTGCAAATTTTTTAAGCTTAAACCGTTTTGTCATTTCAGGGGACTTTTTCAAAAAAAATTTTTAAGAAACTATTTTTATTCATAAAAAACCATTTTTGGAGGTATTTTCAAATCGGTCCAGCTTACTTAAATCTTAATACTTTTCCGAAATATTTTGGTGGAAATCTTAAAATATAATATATTTTATAATTCCAATGGAAAAATATTACCGATTTTTTTTGTATGGGGAGTGATGCAGTCTAATGTACACGTATTTTTTTAAACAAGTCATCTTGCAGAGAACTTATTTAATTTGCAAAAGCCGAAAAAAAACATTCGTTTGTAAATAAATAAAAAAAATTTTTATGGCTCACTTCATTTCAAAAGTATTTTCTTTTATTTTGAAAAATTATAAAAATTAAATTGACCGAAAGCAAAAAGCAAAGCCAAATAAAAGTAAAAGAATCAACATTGAACTGCGTCAAAATGAAAATAAAAACTTGTTATTTTTGTAGTTTTATGACGTATTTATCAAATATACGAGGGTTGCTATTTATATTTTTGCCCTAACAATGGAAAAATGAACATTGGTGCCTTAACCCTGGAAGTGCTTCGCTTTTATGACCCTGGCTATCGAAACGACTACACCAACTTTAAATTTAAATAACAAACAAAATAATTAAGAAGGAAAATACATATTATTATTTTTAGTTATTTATATTTTTTAAACACATTTAAAAAATATTAAATACATATTATTTTCTCTGTTACATATAATAAACAAAAATATAAAGTATTGTTCACTCAAAGTCGGTACGCATAAAATGGGTTATATCTTTTTAACAGGTTTCAGAAAATAATATTTAATATATTAAAATAAGGGGAAGAATTCCGCTATAGATAGATGTTAGCGAAAGTTCATATTTTGCTTGGATAAACAAATAACAGACAATTTCTTTGATAATGATACAATTTTTCTGAACACCCGTTCTAGAGACTTTAGTAAGTCAACTTGTTCCACTAAACTATCTTTAGTTTATGTTTTTTCATAGTTCGCGCATCTCTACTTATTTTGTTTTGAATAAATAACGTGTATTTTTCGATTTGACGTAAATAGGACATATTCGTAAATTGATGAGTTCCAGAACTTTATTCATATCTTTGGCTTCAAACCGATTCAAAGTTACCTGTGAATAATTAATTTTCATTAAAACCAACCAAAACTTTACGGAAGGTCTAAAGTAAATGATACAATGGCTTAACAGTTTGGGCAAGTGCTCCTTCCAGCATATTTCTGGGATCATATGAGCCATTGTGGAGTCTGATCGAGTTTTAATGAGACTGTTTCGATTCTCCCGTCATTTCATATCCCTTTGACAACTTGTAAACTTCTATAGATTTAGTTTTAAGAGGATATCACCCTGTGTCTTTTTAGCTTAAAACTTTTAACGTGGGAGTTGACCGAAGTCAAGTTTTAAACATGTTTTTTAGCCATTACTAAAAAATACCACATTTGGTGTGAACATTGGGGTTAAGTAAACGTGTGAGGATTTTCTTATAAAATTAATTTAATCTAACAGAATTATATGTTTATATTATAACTCGATAAGGTTTAAGTCTTGCCATAGCTTCCATTCGCTGAACTGTGGATAATCGTTTTCCAATTCTCTCGCGCGATCTTCTTCTGATAAGCCGATTTTTTTTTATAATTGAGGTAAAGAGCCTTATCCTTAAGCTGCACTATGGGAAATTTGAGCCCATTTTGTGGCCAAAAGTCAATTTCTTGACTTGCTTGAAATAAATTTTTTTTTGTCTTATCTTACAGAGAATATTTCAGAGTAAAAAACTGTACACTCTGTTTTTCAATAAATTGACTTATCGTTGATTTGGTAACCCTCAAACAGATAGTTTCGAAATTCTCTGTAAACGAAAAATGTGCAGCTTGATTTTGTGCCACATTCAAATACGTTTATCTCGTAATATATTTGCTGGTTTTCAAAAGTGAAAAGTGGAAAGAAAGAGTGACGGTTAGCAGACTACCAATATTTACCAATTAAAACTTGTATTATAGTTTAAAGGTTGTGCCAAAGAAGCGTCCGCATTTAAGTAACTTTAAAGTGAAATTGTACGATTAAAAAAAAAGTTGATTTAGTGTTTTAGAAAAATGTTTAAAAACGTTTCAAAAAAACTCATCATACATCGGCAGAATAGTGCCTGATCTCTTATTTCCCCATAATCTTATACTGCGATTTTGTGCGATATTAAAGAAATTATAATTTTTCTTAGGTAACTACTTGGTACAAAATCATGAGTTTTATGAAATAATTCACGGTGTTATAATTTAAAAGTTGGAAAAAACCTGTCCGATAACAAAGATAAAGTTTTGAACTTAAGGCCAGGGGAGGATTCGAGCCAATATTTAAAATAGAACGTACGAGGCATCTGCTTATTGGGTTGGGGTCCACTGGACCCCGTGTGACCATTACGCTATTTTTTGGAGGTGTGACCATTACGGGTTAATTTTTGCGCAGCAAGGCCCCTACTTCTAGTCCTACTACTGGGCCAAGTTTTAAATTGATATCTCAACTTTTAGAATTTTGGCCACAAAATAGGGTCAAATTTCCCATAGTGAGCTGGTGCGAAATGATTTTTTTTTGATGATTAGCTTACTCTGTTAGTTTAAGCAGAAGGAATCCATTCATTGATTTTTTGAGGAAAATCAGAAGTTTTTGGTATATTTAATTTTAATTTAATTTTTGATCTCGAGAGTGTCGGATTTACAACGAATTCGTTCAATTGCTGGAACGCGTACCGATTTTAAGTGAGCAATGCTTTAAATGATTTCAGAGAAAGGTGCAAAGCGAAACACGATTTTTGTTAGTTGAACCGACTAACGAAGCACGTCCAGGGTTAAAACGGTTTCAAAACATTCTGCGTAATGACCAATATACTTTTGCGTTCGATTTTTTACCACAAAGTGATATTGCACAAACGCAAACTTGCAGGAACTTGCACGTTTCCTTGTCAGCTGATGTCCATGGTTGCAATCCAAACAAAATACATTTTTGTAGAATTTTTAAAATTCTCTCAGATAGACAAAAAACTGGCCCTACATGATCTGATTGCGGTTGCATTCCGTTTACGAATAAAGTTTTCATGTCATCGAGTACCTTTCAAATCCTTGGAATTAAATAAATTAAATAAACAAGTATTTACTTACATTTTTCATTAGAAAAGTCGTTTTTTAAATGTTTTTAAAGATTGCAAATTCTTCCTGGAAAAATTCTTGCCTTCAAGATAACTGCCACTTTGCATTATCAATGTTTGAGTGATGGATAGTTTTTTTGGTCTGCACGAACGCGACTTGAACAAAAATCATGATAATGCGTACAAATTCGTACGGGAATATTTATATTGTGGATTTCTGTGAGTATAAACAAAATCACATCAAGCAAATGTAAAATACGCATATGACGCGACCTTAATGTTTTTGATCTAGGCTTTAGGCGATTATCAGCATCTAATTACAACAACAAACTATAATATACGAAGAAAATTGTCGTACTGTATAAGGTAGATTAACCCTAACATTTGGAATTGGAAAATTTGTGTGTCTTTTTTACATATTTTGCAAATTAATCCAAAAATGTTACAGTGCATTCATTATTTTTATCATTTTTTAATCTTTTCCTAAGCCAGTATTAGTTATTCTTTAGCTCAATTGCATTTGAATAACCCTGGCAATCAAATTCTCAAAATTCAAAATTCATCAAATTACTTAGTTGCCCATATCCGTAAATCGAATATGGGAATACAAAAATGGAACATTGCAATTCGATTTCGGAAAAGTAAGGAAAATCAATTTTCGGAAGAAAATACTTTCGAAGCGAATTCATTGTTCCCTCAATAAATTAACAAATCTTTTGTAATTTGTTTTCATTTGTATTAAAGCCTGTTCTTTTGCCAAAAAATCAAGCTATCAACGATGAAAATCGATAGATAAATAAACAGGTTTTGAATGGCCAAATGAAAATGTGCAATTATTTTCTTATGAATTAGGAGCAGGAAATAATGTCATACGCCATACCGTACATACGTGGCCGTACTCTTACATACATGGCTATGAGCAACATTTTGCATGTTAAAGCTTGAAAAGAATATCTTTTCGCACTGCAAACTTAAAATAAAAATATCTTGGGAAAATGACCTCATCTATAAAAACCGGTTTGCGTGTCTCGCCAAAAATGGAATAAAACTAATACAATTACGTATGGCTTTCATTTAAAAGACAATTGTATGGAACACATGTCACGTTTGGCAGTCAACACTTTAAAGTAGCGAAGGACTTTGTCTACCTAGGATCCAGCATAAACACCAACAATAATGCCAGTCTGGGAATAAAGCGAAGAATTACTCTTGCCAACAAGAGCTACTTTGGGCAAACGAAAAGCAGGCGCCCTCTCTCGACAAACAAGAATCATCAAATCTGACAACATACCCGTCATTTTATACGGCGCAGAAACATGGATGATGTAACAAATATCCCTTGGGTGGAAGGACCAAGTGCAGAAAAATCTGTCTGTACTTGAGATGAGCAACTGGCGCAAATCGACAAACGCTTGTTCAAAGTTAATCGTATTTGGNGATCTAGGCTCTAGGCGATTATCAGCATCTAATTACAACAACAAACTATAATATACGAAGAAAATTGTCGTACTGTATAAGGTAGATTAACCCTAACATTTGGAATTGGAAAATTTGTGTGTCTTTTTTACATATTTTGCAAATTAATCCAAAAATGTTACAGTGCATTCATTATTTTTATCATTTTTTAATCTTTTCCTAAGCCAGTATTAGTTATTCTTTAGCTCAATTGCATTTGAATAACCCTGGCAATCAAATTCTCAAAATTCAAAATTCATCAAATTACTTAGTTGCTCATATCCGTAAATCGAATATGGGAATACAAAAATGGAACATTGCAATTCGATTTCGGAAAAGTAAGGAAAATCAATTTTCGGAAGAAAATACTTTCGAAGCGAATTCATTGTTCCCTCAATAAATTAACAAATCTTTTGTAATTTGTTTTCATTTGTATTAAAGCCTGTTCTTTTGCCAAAAAATCAAGCTATCAACGATGAAAATCGATAGATAAATAAACAGGTTTTGAATGGCCAAATGAAAATGTGCAATTATTTTCTTATGAATTAGGAGCAGGAAATAATGTCATACGCCATACCGTACATACGTGGCCGTACTCTTACATACATGGCTATGAGCAACATTTTGCATGTTAAAGCTTGAAAAGAATATCTTTTCGCACTGCAAACTTAAAATAAAAATATCTTGGGAAAATGACCTCATCTATAAAAACCGGTTTGCGTGTCTCGCCAAAAATGGAATAAAACTAATACAATTACGTATGGCTTTCATTTAAAAGACAATTGTATGGAACACATGTCACGTTTGGCAGTCAACACTTTAAAGTAGCGAAGGACTTTGTCTACCTAGGATCCAGCATAAACACCAACAATAATGCCAGTCTGGGAATAAAGCGAAGAATTACTCTTGCCAACAAGAGCTACTTTGGGCAAACGAAAAGCAGGCGCCCTCTCTCGACAAACAAGAATCATCAAATCTGACAACATACCCGTCATTTTATACGGCGCAGAAACATGGATGATGTAACAAATATCCCTTGGGTGGAAGGACCAAGTGCAGAAAAATCTGTCTGTACTTGAGATGAGCAACTGGCGCAAATCGACAAACGCTTGTTCAAAGTTAATCGTATTTGGATTAATAATAATATAATAGATTGGCGCTTACACATATGTTAGTGTTTGGCCGAGCTTCTCCTCCGACTTGTGGCGTGCGCCTTGATGTTGTCACACAAAGCGGAGGAACCTACGGTTTTATGCCGACTCCGAACGGCGATGGTATTTTTATGAGAAGCTGTTTTTCATGGCAGAAATATACTCGGAGGTTTGCCATTGCCTGCCGAGGGACGACCGCTGTTAAGAAATACCCTTTTTTCTATATTTTTTTGCGATGTTGCTTTGACCAGGGCTTGAACCCAGGTGCTGATGAGTGGAAGCGCGCACTGCTTACCACTACACCACAGCGGCCACACCACAAAGGATTAATAGTCAAGCAAAAATTGGATCTAGTAAATATTTAAAACATCTGGAACCAACTGATTTTTTCTTAGTTGTTAAAAACCGAAACCTTGCCTTTTAATATGTAATTATTAAATTATATATTTCAATCAATCGTTTTCGGAAATATCTCTCTGTTTATAATACTTTTTAACCGATTTCATAACAGGGAGGACGTTATCAATTCGTCAAAAATTCTTTTTTATGTACATATGTTACCGCATAAATTTGGACGACGTTAACCAATTTCTATAATTCTTTAATTTTAAAGAAAAAGGTGGTACCTCAGTGGTGGTCCCATACTAATTTGGTTTAGATCCGTTCGTNAATTCTTTTTTATGTACATATGTTACCGCATAAATTTGGACGACGTTAACCAATTTCTATAATTCTTTAATTTTAAAGAGAAAGGTGGTACCTCAGTGGTGGTCCCATACTAACATGGATCATGTGGAAATTAACGGTACTCTTAAATTTTTATATGAGAATTAAAGTCGGTTTTGTTTTTTGCTTAAAAATTACTTGTAATTAAATTATACAGTGCCTCAGAAATGTGTTTTTACGAAATATTACTTTTTCTTGGCTTTTTAACATAGCTTTTTTTGACGAAGTTTTATTCAATTTGTTTAAAAAATGCTCATTTAATTGCACTTCATGTATATCGCATTTAAACAAAAAGAAAAGCGACATTAAGAAAAGACTGCGGTAAATCTGCATATATTATAAACGCATGTCTAATAAATTTTGTCTATACAGCTTCTCTGTTTTTGCTTAAGTGTATTAAAGCGTATTCTTTAAATGAAAATACAGCCAAACCAAATGTTATGTAGTAGATTTCAAAGCACATTGATTTATTCAATTGGAAACACATACGTATACCAAAAAATAATTTTTGAAGAAAAACATGACGTACTATTTATGTAAGAGCAAGATTGGTAAAAAATTCAACAAAATAAACAAAATAATGAATTTACAGTGAATTCTAAGATGGAATTGTATTAATATTCTAGATGAAAAAACCCAGACTTTTTAATACATTTACGGGTTTTAAGCCTAAGATGAGATAATAAGAAAATGTTATTTGTTGATTACGTACCTACAGTTGTAATTGATTACATCCTCTCGCAGTTTTTCACTTAGTTCACCAAGTATACATTCTTCGTCAAAAAATTTTCCTTGATATCGATGCTCAAAATACTCGGTAATCCTTTGGCGCATGTCACGCGGAAGCTTCCGATAGGCCATGTACTCCTCTACCTGTTTCACCTTTTCACGATATTGCCGTCTGCTAGAATCCAAGCTTTGGATCAAATTGGTCGCATGGCCCAAGAACAATGCATAACAAGTAGCACCTGATATCATCGATAGCATCGTCAGCCACATATCTGTCAATGACTGCGGCGGGAATCTGCAATTAACAGTATGTATGTATGTACACTGCTTAAAGATGACAAAGAAAATCCTACCTGCCGTAACCTATACAAAGCATATGAGACATCGCCTTAAATAAAGCCCATGAATACTGTTCAAGCCAATATGACTCCTGAAAATCATGTATGTATATTAAATTATTTGAAACTAAAACACAGGATAGTTTCCGAATTTCCAGTCACCTGTAATTCGTTAATGGATACCCATGAGTTTGATGGAAAACCTTGTAGCATTGGCACTAAAAACTGCAAACAACCACTCCAGTGGCCGATAAGAAGCATCATGCATATCAGATTGAAGATCCTCATAAAGACTGATGCCATATTGAGGAACTAAAAAGATATCCATCAATGCAAAACTATTTATAAGCGATGCATATTTCATTACAACAACGAAAACGAGTGTGAAATGTGAAAGTACAAGAGTTGAACACAGTAATACGACTGAACACAAAAAAAACATTCTAAAAATGTTAAGCTCAAATACTAACAAAATATTTCACGCAGTAATTAGTGACATACACTTCATATGTATGTATGTTATACTTATTACTTCATAAATATTAATATTAACAGTANACATACACTTCATATGTATGTATGTTATACTTATTACTTCATAAATATTATCATAAATATTAAATATTATCATATTAGATTTAGACTTTGAGCAAAACATCGGTAGTTATCATAACAAACAATTTTGTCATATACATACATATCTACTTATTAAATAGGTTGCTGCAATTGAACATCGAGCACCTAGCTTTATAAACAATTTCATTAGTTCACATTGATCATATACATATGATAATAGCACAGTTAAATATAAATAAAAGAATGTGGCCCTTTTTAGAGCTAGAAAGCACTGCAATAATCGCTCATAATAAAATAATTGCTAATAATTATTTCTAGACTAAAAATCCTATTTATGTAATTTAAGCAAATTATAGTAAAACTATAGTTATATGCAATATATATATATACATATGTACCTCTTGATATATATGTAACAATATATACATGTAATCTTAATATGGAAATCGCTATTTAACATTTTTTTTTCTCTAAGAAATGGTTTGAAACTTTATAAAAGCATAAGCCCTTTAGTTACGAAATTTGTTCAAAATACTGGTTTTTAATAAACACTGGAACTAATTTATTGATCTAGTAGTTGCTTCTACATTCTATTAGGTCCGTAGTGAGTAATCCACCGACTTTTATACAAAGTAGTGTTCTGAAAGAAAATGATTTAGGACCTTTTTCTATTACGGTAACGATATGCATAATAAAGCTTTGCACATTGCACTCCATTAAAATAAGAAATCGTAAAACAAGTGCTAAAATATTCGACGTACGTATTTGATCAGAGGAATTAGTTGTGGGATTATAAAGGGATGTTACGAATGTTATATATTTCACAACCGCTAGTGGGAATGAAACTTACAAAGGAGCCCGACATTTTCTGTCTAGAAAAATAAAAGCACGTTTTGAAAGTCTCGATTATACATATTATATTTATATTCCATAAATTTGTTGAAAAATGTATATTTATGTCCTTTTATTATCTACGAAGTTATGTTATCTAATATTTATGTCCTTATATTACCTACGAAGTTATAATATTTCTATTTACATTCTTTTCAAATTTCAGAACGCATGTTGACTAAAACAAGAAAAACTATTATACGTATTTATTTGATCTGAATAGCATAAAAGGTTCTCTGTTTAGACGAAGTTTTTTAACGAAAAAATCGTACTCCACATACTACGAAATCAGCACTATTTATTGCATTTATTCCCAGTGGGAAAATGTAATGTATACATAGTAATCGAAAAATAATCAGTGAAACAACCCTTTTCACATTTGAAAATGCATTCAATTTTACATTACCTAGTATCGAGAAATTAATGTGATTTAATATAAAATTTTAGGGACTTTTTGAATACATTAGAATGTTGATTACAACTTAACCATTTCCATTTGAAGATGCCCATTAAAACCATGCGTTTGCATGAGATTCTGAGCCCTAGTGATTACATTTGGCAACACATATCGAGTTATGCGTAGAGTTCTATAAGAAACTAAGTTTTAAGAAGAGTATGTTAACTACGTAATGCAACCACTAACGAAAGACTTTCAATTAAAGGCACAACATTATAACTTTTTTCTTAACTTTTTGAAATTTTAAATAACATTGTTTATCGTATATTTTAGAGCCTTAGCCAAATAATGCCCTAATGTTAGTCTATATACATATGTACATGATAGTCACACTATTAGAAGGTATTTCTCTAGCTCATCTTATTTTTTTACAGTGTGTTACGGGGTATAGTCGTTGCGCTGGGTATGCAGTAACAGTTGCATGGCTATACTCAATCCCGACTCTTGCGACCGTTCGCGCACTCTGGGCAACGTGAGCAACCCATGTGCGAGATGCGGTAACCAATCCGAGTGGAGCCTTGGGTCACGGCAGAAAGAGAGGGAGCTTCAGCGGGGCCACTCCGACTTAATCGGTTTAAGGGCTCACAGAAGTCTGCAGCGTCTGTTCACCAGTAGGTGCGGCTGCAAGCGGGTGTCTGCTTGGAGTAAGCGGCTATATAAACATGTATTTGGTTGTGAAACCATCCCCGTCCCAGCAATGGGTTGTGCGCTGGGTTTGGGACGCGCCACGTAAAAACCACTTCCAGTGAAGAAGCAAGGCAAAGCCTCGGATAAGACCCCCCCTTATGATGACGACCACAGCAAACGTTTAAAGGACTACGATTTGTGGGCATGCACCTGGAATGTCCGGACCCTTAATGGGGAAGGTGCCTCTGCCCCGCTAGTTGATGTCCTCGTAAGGACAAAATCTGCCATCACCGCCATCCCAGAAATGCGTTGGAAAAGGAAAGCTTAACGTCGAAAAGCTGCAATCACAACAGACAGCCAGCTTCGTTTCTCGACTCTCACACCTGCTCTCAGAGAGCACTCTTCAACAANCGGATTTCAGCGAGCCCGAAAGAACAACTGGTACGATGAGGAGTGTCAGGAAGCTGCAGAGAAAAAAGATGCCGCCTACAGGGCCACGCTGCGATCGGGCGCAACGCGCGCTATGTGGGACCGCTATAGGGATCTGAAGAGGGAAGCGAGACGTATTTGCCGCAACAAGAAGAGAGAGGCAGAAATACGTGAGTGCGAAGAGCTTGAAATGCTGGCCGACAGGAAGAATGCCCAAAAATTTTACCAGAGAGTTAGGCGACTTACGGCAGGTTTCAAGACCGGGGCGCACTCCTGTAAGAACAATAATGGCGACCTAGTAACTGATGTCCAGAGCGTACTTAAATTATGGAGGGAACACTTTTCCGCCCTACTAAATGGTAGCAGCACAGAAAGTTGTGGAGAAGAAGAACCCGAGCCCGCAGTCGATGATGACGGAGTCGACGTTCCACCGCCTGACTATGACGAGGTACGTATAGCAATAACGCGGCTGAAAAACAACAAAGCCGCTGGAGCTGACAGCCTGCCAGCTGAGCTATTCAAGTACGGCGGCGAGGAGTTGATAAGGTGCATGCATCAACTCTTGTGCAGAATATGGTCAGATGAACGCATGCCCGACGACTGGAATTTAAGTGTGCTCTGCCCAATCCACAAGAAAGGTGACCCCGCCATTCGCGCCAACTACCGCGGGATCAGCCTTCTAAGCATAGGTTACAACGACTTATCGAGCGTATTGTGTGAAAGACTGAAGCCCACCGTCAATGAACTGATTGGGCCTTATCAGTGTGGCTTTAGACCTGGCAAATCCACCATAGACCAGGTATTCACAATACGCCAAATCTTGGAAAAGACCCGCGAGAAAAGGATCGACACTCACCACCTATTTGTCGACTTTAAAGCCGCTTTTGACAGCACTAAAAGGAGTTGCCTATACGCCGCTATGTCTGAATTTGGCATCCCCTCAAAACTCATACGGCTGTGTAAAATGACGTTGAGCAATACCACCAGCTCCGTCAGAATTGGGAAAGACCTCTCCGAGCCGTTCGTCACCAAACGGGGTTTCAGACAGGGCGACTGCCTTTCATGTGACTTCTTTAATCTGATGTTGGAGAAGATAATATGAGTTGCTGAACGCAACTGCTCAGGAACAATTTGCTACAAGAGCGTGCAATTGCTGCCTTATGCCG